AGCCAGGACTGTATGTGTCTATAATTACACACGAGACCGCAAAATAAAACCTGCTGTGGTCTGTGCACTACAGTGGCCAACTTGGCCCAACTAACTGTATACATATATCCTGCGGCGGCGGGCCTCACCCCGCAAGGCTTGATGTATGGAGGAGTTGCTGCCTTAGATCGACAGGAGTCCTCGGGCTGCTTCGGAGAAACTCGCCTTAACCTAGGATCGCCAGGATCAGCTTATTCAGAATTGTTGGAGCCTACATGCCAAACACAGCAAAAATAACTCTTTTTCCTCGAAATTGCTTCGATCATCCTCGGAGTTTCGGAACCAGGATGTCAGGAGCTGCGTTCTACGTGCTACCTACCAACCATGCATTAAGTATGGTACCTGGAATTCATAATTGTATCGCTGCACCCTATACGGAAGTAAACGGGTTGAGAATTATACTTGGCACAGACAGACTCCCTGTAGCACAACAAAGAAGAAAAATAACTCTTCGGGACTCAGTTAGAAATTCCCGAGCCTCGGACAAAGGGATGATAATGTCTAATTCGGGACTTTATTTCGAACGCCCCAAGCTAGGAGGAGAGTGAGATCTTCACAAAAAAAAAGGACGAGGAAATTGGGGTTGCAGGAGCTCTATGTGTTTGTCTGGCTTAAATTTTCAGAGAATTTTTCTAGGGATGGGGAGCTTGGCGACATGTCGTGGAGAGATGACCGTTGGCTTGTTTTTTCTTATGTTCTTTTCTTTGCGATTGGCGAGCCATCGAATATGCGGGGTGCTCTAGCGTGTGGAGCGGGAGGCAACTTGCACGGTACCCAATTGTTGACCCTGGCTCAGCCTCCCTGGCTAATATTTCTTCCGGAGCTGGAGTGCGTATAGGTAGGTACATAACATTTCGATACTTGTTGCTCCTACCTCATCTGGGAGTTCCCGTGAAGCAGTGTCGCGTGCGTGCGAGTAATGTACGAGTAATATCGTGAAGGTAGACTTTTTCTTTCTTTCTTTCGAGAAACTCAGGTGCCAGGATGCGGTCTGCGCCTTCTTACTCTACCATACATATTGGATGTAGGTATCTCCTTGCTTTCTTTAGGCAGCTGAGAAGTCGGGAAGAGATCATCAATTTGTGGTTGGAAAGCTTCCATACGTGCGTGTGACCTTTTTGTAACTGCGTAGTCTCAGCTGCGACTTACGTGTAGTATTGGAATTGGAAGCCACGGGACCAGCATCGTGAGGTCTAAGCGTGAGAAAAAAAAACACAGACTTCATTCACGATGTCAATTACCCCCAGGAAATAGGTAAACTTGTAGAGCTGCTGTTGGAGGTTGGAACCTTGGATGTGTAACAAGGCTGGACCGAGAGTCTGAGACCTCTTCGGCTTCCTACGGCTGCGGTTATTTTCATCCTTTGAAAATTCGGTTTCCAAGTATTGGATCGCATTGCAGGATCCTAGGAGTTGAATTGTTCCGTAACTTTCCTACCCATGCACAAAGTACAGGAGAAATGCATTTTATTTATGCAGTGCATGCAGGAATGGCTACCTCATGTAGCCAGGGGCTGAAAATCATCGCTTAATGAGAATTATTCGGATGAGCTCCGGCCTTTTCTCGTCGCCCAAGTCTTATTTCCCCAGAAAATTGCGGATTTTCGGTTGTGACATGGGCCTTGACCCAGGGATGGTTTCAGAGAACTGTCTCCCGATTCCTTCCGTATGGCAGCACCGGTTGCGACTCGGTCAACTGGCAAGTGAACGAGTTGGAGGAGTGCCTCCGCAACGCCGGATTGCTCCGAGGTCCAGCTACCAAGTTAAACCAAACAGGAGGCGATCAACTGGATCATCTCTCTGAGCTAGTGTGGGACACAACGGTTAGCTCCTAGAGTGGCTAGCCAGTTGACGAGTCCTCCCGAAGAACCTTGAGGATGCTTCCGAATAAGTGTCGTATATTCTCTCGCATCTCACTTGCTACCCAAGTTGTTCTAAGGAATATAAAGTCCTCACATTCCCCCAGCTTTACCTTCACTTCACTATCATCACCATCAACAGCAGCAGCAGCAGTTCACAGCTCAATATTCATTCGTCTTCGATATACAGCTTGCCATAAATCAATCCATACCTCCTCTCCACCATTTAAAGCTCTTCATTCCAATAATCCTCTAATCAAAATGGTTTCTGGATCAGTCAACCGAACTTCTCTCCACCCTGGAGGTGTACAGTGAGTTTCTCCAGCTCTTTCTCTGCAAACCTATTTAGTGGGATGCGTCCATTTATCGGTGTGGCGATATTTTCCCACCGAGGACTTATCCCCATGGATTTCATCTTTACAAAGAAGCTCTACTGACGTCACAATTCAGACCTACTCGTGAGCACACCGAAATTGAAGAGGAGCTCCATGACAAGGCCAATATCGACTATGACCGCGTTGCCATTGTCGCCAACCCTTCAGTAGCAGCTCTATATGAAGATGCTTTGGTTTACGAGACCGGTACTGCCATCACATCCTCAGGTGCTTTGACTGCGTACTCTGGAGCCAAGACCGGCCGTTCTCCCCTTGACAAGCGTATCGTTAGAGAGCCCTCGTCCGAGAAGGAGATCTGGTGGGGCCCTGTCAACAAGCCGATGGAACCCGAAGTACGTAACCACCCGGTTTTGTGGGGTAACTAGTGCGCTTGGCCTTGCGCTAACATTATTGAAACAGGTGTGGAGAATTAACCGCGAGCGTGCTGTCGACTATTTGAACACCAGAAACAGGATTTACGTCGTTGATGGTTTCGCCGGATGGGATGAACGCTACAGGATTAGAGTTCGTGTCGTCTGCGCTCGCGCCTACCACGCCTTATTCATGAGGAATATGCTCATCAGGCCGAAGCCTGAAGAGCTTGTCCACTTCGAGCCCGACTACGTCATTTACAATGCTGGAACTTTCCCTGCGAACAGATTCACTACCGGTATGACTTCTTCCACCTCGGTTGCGATCAACTTCGCCGAGAAGGAAATGGTCATTCTCGGTACCGAGTACGCTGGTGAGATGAAGAAGGGTGTTTTCACCATTCTCTTCTACGAAATGCCTGTCAAGCACAACGTCCTCACTCTCCACTCTTCTGCCAACGAGGGAAAGGACGGGGATGTCACTGTTTTCTTCGGACTTTCCGGAACTGGAAAGACCACCCTGTCTGCTGATCCCAACAGATCATTGATCGGTGATGATGAGCACTGCTGGTCTGACAAGGGTGTCTTCAACATTGAGGGTGGATGCTACGCCAAGTGCGTTGGTCTCTCAGCCGAGAAAGAGCCTGATATTTTCAACTCCATCCGTTTCGGATCCGTTCTCGAGAACGTTGTCTTCAACCCTGACACCAGGGAGGTCGACTACGATGATGTTACCTTGACTGAGAACACCAGGGCTTGCTACCCCATCGAGTACATCCCGAACGCGAAGATTCCTTGCATCGCCGATGCTCACCCATCAAACATCATTCTTCTCACTTGCGATGCCAGCGCTGTCCTTCCTCCAATCAGTAAGTTGAACAACGCCCAGACCATGTACCACTTTATCTCTGGCTACACCTCAAAGATGGCCGGAACTGAGGATGGTGTCCTGGAGCCAACTGCGACTTTCTCTGCTTGCTTTGGACAGCCCTTCCTTGCTCTCCACCCCATGAGATATGCCAGCATGTTGTCTGAGAAGATCACTGAGCACAAGGCCAACGTTTGGCTCTTGAACACCGGTTGGGTCGGTGCCTCTGCCAGCAAGGGCGGAAGACGTTGCCCTCTCAAGTACACTCGTGCTATCCTTGATGCTATGTAAGTTTACATCTTAAGTACTGCCTTGTATATACCATTTACTAACAAACATCTGTAGTCACTCCGGTGAATTGGCCAATGCCGAGTACGAGACCTACGAGACCTTCAACCTTCAGGTCCCTGTCTCAGTTCCTGGTGTTCCTGATCAGTTCTTGAACCCCAGTAAGAGCTGGTCTGGTAGCGCAACTGAGTTCACCGATGAGGTCACCAAACTCGGAAGGCTCTTTGTCAAAAACTTCTCCAAGTACGAGTCGGAAGCGACCGCTGAGGTCAAGAGCGCTGCCCCTGTTGTTTAAACGTGCTTGTTTCAGAAGTTTTTAGATATTCCCCGGTGTCGCTCGGTAGACATCGAGGTTAGAAGCATGGATTTCTAGCTGTACTTCCTTTTCTTTTCATTTCATTTTTGTTGTGGGCTACACAAGCAGGCGTTTTGAGTTTTATTTTCTACTTCCTGTATAGGCAATGTTGGAGTGTGTATTTGTGTGCTTCAAAATTTCTTTTATATGATTATGAGCATTTGAATTTCAAACCTATTCTGATATATCAAAACTTAAGACCTTCATAGTGACATGTCACCTACCTACATGTACATATATACATGTATGTATTGATGCGTCAATGCTTCTTGGTATGCCGCCATCTACTCTAAAAATCAAATCAGCTGCCATGCGACTTGCCTATCAAAAACGGCCATCACTAGGCGTTCCAAGATGGATGGCCGTGGGAGGGGTGCTGTGATATTACACCCAACTGAAACGTGCAACCAATCTGCTGCAAATGCAGTCGTAATGTAAACTGAGCAGGACCTGCATGCATATCCTATTGCATCCTTTGAGATTTTGCGTTATTTTTTTCTCTTTCGCACAGAATACATGCTCTCTGTACGCATGCTCTGGCTTCAGGCGCATTCGGCGCATTCGCTTTGTTGATGTTCTATAGGTACATGATAGGTGTAGATGCTACATACTTTAATAGATTGGTACCGGGGATGCTGAGGTAGAGTACTTGACATGCGATAACGGTATCAAGGGTTATCGCATACTATCCCACGTTTCCCCCCACGCGGGGTCGAAGGACAAGCATTTTAGAGTGTGTTTCGGCGCCAAGTTTTTCCGGCTGCGTTGTGCCAAGGAGATGTGTGGCTTGCCAAGTTCTGCTGACTTGGCAAATTTATTTCAAAATTAGATAAATTCAACTATGTTAGCCCGGATGGTCTAGCGGTATGATTCCTGCTTTGGGTTCTATTGAATTGAGTGCAGGAGGTCTCCGGTTCAATCCCGGATTCGGGCCGATAATAATAGTCTTTTTAATTATGCCTCAGCATAGTAGGCGTGATTATTGACTGCTACTCCCAACTAACCAAAAATTTTATGTTCTTTGTTTTCGGAGGTCACAATGATCCATAGCCAATTCAAGACTACAGGTCTAAAGACCACGCCCGTTCGAAACCGGGTTATCTTTCTTAGTCCTCAGCTATTACCGGAGAAACTCGGAGTAAATACTCAAGTCTAGATGTTGCCGTTGAAAACGAAGTTGCAATGTTTCTTGGTCTTTCTGTATACAGTATAAAGTTATTGCAAAGGTGGGTTCTCCGTGACCCGATAGTCTTATTGGCCCTTAAAAGGTTTTTTACTGCGAGCACAGACCCACAGATCCACTCTTTTAGCTCTGACTTTTGCAATAATTCTACCGCATACTATAGTAAATCTTCCGGATAAATATAGGGCTGTGACTTGATCTGACTTGATCCAGGTAGGTCATGACAGCGACTCGGAAGTTTACGGGGCCTGTGCACAGACATGTAGTAAGTGATCCTTTTGTTTCAGCATCTTCCCGCCGGCGTTACTGGTTAGAGAGTTCCATCTGATGTAAAGTCAAGTGAGATGGATGGTGAAGCTTGATCATTTACCGACGAAACATTTGCCGTACGCAGTACGACGGCTACCATGGCCCGTTCTCTGGGCTTCGATATCAGTCGCAGATGAAGAGAAATCAATGCAATGCTCGCATAATCATATATTGAATTCACTCAGCTGAAACAAAGGTTTTTTTTCTTTCTTACCACAACTTCGTGTAGCTCGTCTTGCTCTTGTTGATCATTGCATTGGGATCACTCACTGATCGTCGTTAATATATCATAATGACTTTGTATCCTTGAGGCAAAAAGCAAGTGGTCTTGCGTAATGAGCCACGCGCATCACAAAGGTCTGCTCATTGGGTGAGCGATTTGTTATTGGGGGCGGTCTGTAGAGTACGACGGTCCATTCGTTAGATAAACGTGATAGCTCAGAGGTTTCAAAAACAAGCAATTCAAAAATAGCAAGCACCAAATGTCATTAGGATGATAAAAAAACAAAAAGACAGAAGAACGCCGCCTACACACTTCCTTCTATGTGCGCATTGTTTATAGGTTAAAAACAAGGCAGTTTCGCCACGGGAATTATCCAAAAGCCGCTGTTCTACAATATGAAACAATCAGCTGATCGTCAACCTTGAAAGACTTCATGCACAAAACGTGGTCTATCAGTCAGCCAGTTTCCATAACCCCAAGACCGGACAGAAGCATTTGCTCACGTTGTACAAATTTCCAACGTTTTCGTCTAGCGCCGGCGCAAACGTAGCGTTGATGTACGTGAATATTGACTCGCTGGCAGGGATACCCAGGTTATCTCTAAGAAATTTGACAACATTCTCGAATCGTTGGTTGGTTTTGATCTTGTAGACATCTTTGTTCAGGATTGGGACCGAGCCAATAGCCTTAAAGCGGATAGAAACTATAAACTAAAGGGTTAACGATACATTCTGCATGTAGCCCACCAGGGAAGTTGATAATGGGACATGGGCAAATACCTTTCGTGGGCTTAGGGCTTAGCGCCTTATCGAGGGCCATCCTTCCATCTCGTGGGAGCGAGGTCAGGACCAAGGACGCAGAGAGCGCAACCGGAAGGTCGCCAGCATCCTCTTCTGGGATCTTTGGTTGTGCTGATAGGTCTTCCGGGCCAGGGCTGGGGCTCGCCATGATGTATTGAGTTGCAATTAGCTTTGTGTGGTGTGGGGTTGGAAGTTAAACTCCGAGAAGTGGAGGCTCTGCAAGACGGGAGAGCTAAGGGCTAGGGGTGAATCTACAACATGACACTTCGGAAAAGACTTTAAGCGAAAAAGAAGAGGAAAAAACTGCCAAGGTGCGCGCCTAGAATAAAACAGATATAGTAACTACATGTACATGTACTTCGATAAATCTCTTGGGAACTCAATCCTGATTAGTACATGTAGCTAGCAGCTGAGAAAATGGACACTGATAGTAGTTTTGTTTATCCTAACCATCAAACCGGAAAAAATCACACCCCGACTTTTCTCTTTCCCCCAACCGGATCATCATACTCCACATCATCAATTTGAAAGGAAACCCAGAAAGGAAGAAAAGAAATTTTAAAACAAGAAGATATAAAGAGGGCGTAGATAATGTATGGAGGTGGTCTAACATCGACAAAAAAAAGTGATCCGATATCAAGTCTCCATTTACATTAGTACTTCGAAATGGAACCAGTATTTCCCCTCTAATTTACTCTAAGATCAGCTTTGTGACCTTTCCGATAGCAATTGTTTGTCCCTAAAACAACGGCGATTAGATTCCATTGATGGATTAAAGGGACCGAATAATCTACCTGCTCACGGAGGGTGAAACGCCCTAGTTGCTGATAATCTTCGTATGTCTCGATAGCAAAGGAATCGCCGCTAGCTGCCTCGAGACGGGCAATGATAGCTTGCCCTGCATGGAATTTTAGCATTCACGGGGTATTTATTTATAGGTATCCTAAGTCTCACCTTTACTAGCAAAGGCAGGCGGCTTCTTAGACTTCCTTCCGGTCCCTTTCTCTAGTTTATGCAACAGCTGTGTGAAAACAACTTCCTGAATGGTGGTATGCACATGCATGACACATCCGAATCCAGCGGTCAAAATATTCTTAAGATCAAGAATGTGGATCTGGGCCTCGAAAGCGGTAACACAATGAATGGGTTTTTTTGCAGAGGTTAACACGAAACCAGTAGTCACATCTTCTTCTTCAACACCTTTGACGCGTATACGGACTTGGTCTCCGCATTGGGCGTGGTTAATCTCCTCTTCGGTTTCGGAATAGATCGCGATAACCTCAATAGGTGTGCGGCCGGGCATCATAAGAAGGTTCCCACCCTTCCTGACGAATCCTGACTCGACTTTGCCTTCGATCACAGTTCCCATATCCTATACGGCATTAAAGTTAAAAAGGGCTGGGGGTTGAAACTAATGGCTGGGGGTTGAAACTAATGGGCCTAGTTATAATAACCGTACCTTGTATTTGCTGGAAATTGGCATCATGAACGGCGCCTTGAGCTTACGTTCCAAGGTCTTCATATCGTCCAGATATTCAAGGAGTGAAGGCCCGTCATACCACGGGCAAAGATCCTTTGGTACTCTGGTGTTCAGACCAGCGCCAGTTAGTGCCGACAAAGGCATAAAAAATAGATCTACACTCTATCAGTTATTGAACAACCTCCTGTATTTGAATTTGCTGATTTACCTGTCTTAGGATTATAGCCTGTACCTTTCAAAAACTGTGTCAGTTTTGTTGTACACTCGAGAAAACGCTCCTTGCTCCATTCCACAGTGGGGTCATCCATCTTGTTCACAACGACAATTAATTTGTTGACACCCTGAGTTTTTGCAAGCACAGCGTGCTCTCTAGTCTGGCCTCCTTTCTCAAAACCGGTCTCGTATTCTCCCTTTCTCGCCGAGATGACTAAAATCCCAACATCTGCCTGTGAAGCACCCCCAATCATGCTAGGTACGAAGGTTTTGTGTCCGGGGGCATCAAGAATAGTGTATCGTCGCTTTTCAGTTTCGAAATACGCGCGACCAACTTCAACTGTCTTTCCTTTGGAGCGCTCTTCTTTTGTTAAGTCAAGTGCCCATGAAAGATACCATGATTCACGACCTTGCTCTTTAGCATCACGCTTGTATTTATCCATCGTACGCTCGTCAACCATTCCTGTGGCATAGAGAATGGCACCACCAAGTGACGACTTCCCTGCATCGACGTGTCCGATGAAGATAAGATTTACATGTTCCTGAACCCATGTGTTAATAATGTCCTAATTTATAGCAGATTCCGTCGTTGTAAGAAGCTCATGCACCCCCCCGAGAAAGTGGGGAAAGAAATGTTCTTTTAGGGAATATGCACTCCAAGGCCATCCATTAAATACCTTTCCGTAAAGCTCCTCAAGGGTCATTTCGTCAACCTCATCCTCCTGTTCCTTCGCGACGGCATCCGCTTCTCTCTTTTGTGCCGCGGCCGTTGCCGCTGCCGCTGCCGCTGCCGCTGCCGTTGCCGCTGCCGTTGCGACGGTAGTTGAAGGCTTTGGGGCTGCAGCGGGGGTAGTAGTTGTTGATTTGCTTGGGGCGGCTTTAGCTTCAGGCTCCTTGCTTGCCAGAGCCTCCTTAGTAGAAGCAGCAGGGGCATCCTTCTTAGCTGCCGGAGGAGTTGCGGCACCCCCAATTGTGAGAACCTTGGCACCCAGAGGCTCGCTTCCTCCAATTTTCAAAACCTTTGGTGCAGTTGGAGCGGCAGCAGTGGCCGGAGTCGTGGCGGATTTGGGAGCTGTAGGTACGGGGGTACTAGTTCCAGGGGTGCTGACCCCAGAGTTGGGGTTTCTAGCGATCTGGGGTACTTGTTGCTGCTGCTGCTGCTGTTGCTGTTGCTGTTGCTGTTGCTGTTGCTGTTGCTGTTGCTGTTGCTGTTGCTGTTGCTGCTGTCTTTGAATATGAGGAGGACGATATGCTTGCTGTTGCTGTGGCTGCTGGTTATAAAACTGGCCTGGCTGCTGCCCATAGGCCGCCTGCTGCTGTCCATACCCAGTATTATATGCGCCGTACTGTGCGTATTGGTCATATCCCTGCTGTGCGCCGTATTGCCCATACTGAGAATACTGTTGGTTTTGCTGGCCATATCCGTATGGTTGTTGTTGACCACCGTAGGCACCACCTGGTACAAAAGAGGCCGCACCGGGAGTGAATGTAGCTGCACCGGGCGAGAACGACGGGGCGTTATATGATGGCCTAAATTGTTGTTGTGGCTGTTGTTGGCGTTGCTGCTGCTGTTGCTGAATGTTCAGTTGCTCTTGTGTTTGTCTGGCGAGATCATTGTCATCGCCTGCAGCATCTTCCCAGGAGTTTGGAGTGTTCCCAGACATGATGAGTGGGGTAGTGAGGGGTAGATTTGTTGAAAGGGAAGGGTATGGGTTGGTGAGTGACG